TATCTATCTATCTATCTATCTATCTATCTATCTATCTATCTATCTATCTATCTATCTAGATGTAGATATAGATATGCACATCACACCAGTGATGGCAGGGAGACAGGTTTCTCCAAATTTTCAGTAACAACTTAATCATTGAAAACAGAAACAGTCCTTAAGTTGGGAACTGCTTTACCAACTGAAATAAAGCCTGAAACTTAACCAATCAGTTATCATCCAAACTCAAGGAAAAGGAGATGGGGTCTTATTCTGTAGACCAGGCTGGCTTTGAACTTGCAATCCTCCAGCCTCTCCCTCCTAAATGCTAGGGTTACAACTGTGTGCTACCACAGCAATCACTTTCTAACGCCTGTCTTACAGGGGCAATCAGCTAAAAGCAGAGCATTAATTTGCCCAAATAAGAGATATATACATTCTTGTGCTGATAAGGAAGACTGAGCAACTCCTAAATCCTTACAATGATGAGCACTCTAAATATCAGGAGAGACAGATGGGATTCTGTGAGCCTCATAAATGAAGTCTCATCTTATTAAACATTAAGGCTCTCCTATATACTTCCTTTTAAGTATGAAAAAGTTGGAGATTTAGAACATGGTCTTACACAAAGACTAGAGGGGACTCTATTCAACAGTCTTTAATTCATTGTGCTCTCTCATTAAGTAAGGCAGCTTCCTTGAACATAAGTCCCACTGGCTCTAAAGACAGAATCACTTTAGTGCTCAGTGATAGATCAAAACCCATCCTCAAACAGGGACTCATCTTGTCAGAGCTTTTAACACAAGCTCTACTTCCATCAATCCAATGGGTTCATGGTCACTGGCAGCTTAAATTCTTTTTCTGTCAGGAGTTGAAAAACTCCCTCAACTAAGTACATGTTTTAAAAAGAAAGAAAGAAAGTAAAGAAAGAAGGCTAATGGCTGGGCTCCTGAGGAGACCAGATACCAACTTCACATTTCATTAATAAGTATCCTGTTCAGCAAAACCCAAGAGATTCGGGTACCTTTTTAATGGTATTGTGCTTGCTACTGGAGCCGCCCCTGTCTGAGTTCTCATTGTGTAGGATATCCAAGGCTGTCTCCCTCTCTTTGAGTTTCAAGGCCTCGATTTCCGTCTTGAGTTCATTGAGCTGCTCTTGCAGATGCTTGCTCTTCTCCATGTACTCCACTCTGTCAAGACGAAACCATGCATCAGAACTGGACAGACATTGAGGTACAGAAGAGACTTGACATGACTCACAGGTTTTCAGGAGCAGCCTGGGGTTCATACCTGAACCTGGCCACTCAGAAGTGAAGGAAGCTTGGGCTACCCACTAAACTGCTATGAATCTCTTTCCACATCAGTGCAGTTGGGAAAATAATTACAGGGCCTCCAGGCAGGAAGAAATAAAGTGGAGGAAGAAAGCTCCATATAAACTTTTGGAGTGCTCTCCAAATAACACAGAGCGCGTTCAGTTCTGTATGAAAAGTCGTATCAGCGATGGAGAGGTGGCTCAGAGGTTAAGTGAACCGACTGCTGTTCCAGAGGTCCCAAGTTCAATTCCCAGCAACCACATGATGACACACACCCATCTATAATGAGAACTAGTGCCCAGAGATACATAATAAATAAATTAAAAAAAAGAAAAGTCACATCAAACAAGGCTCCTGAACCATACTCTCTGCTTCCTCCCGTCCTGAAGCAGTTAACCAGTGATCTTGTCCAGTAGGCCACATCTACTCTCCCACTTATCTCGAGACCTTTAGGTAAAGATGGCGGACATTCCACTTTGCCAACACTGAGAAGAAATAAGTTGCCATTTTCACCTGATGAGGTTAAAGTGCTTAACTATAAGCATGAACAGAAAACATGAGAACATTCTGAACAGATTTCTGCGGCCAGTCAATGGGCTCTGCAGCCGGTGTAGAAAATAAGTGCTATGGGCTGAATGCAGTGTTGTCTCATTCATATGCTGCAGCCAACTCACCAATGTGTTAGGAGGTGAGGCCCTGGGCAGTGATTAGTTCATCAGTCTCATGATGGATTTATGTCCAAAAAAAAAAGACCCTAGAGAGATCCTGATACACACGAGCACACAGCAAGGTACGATCTATGAACCAGGAAGAAAACTCATTGAACTCTGAGTTGGCAATGCCTTGATCTTGGATTTCTAAGCCTCCAGAACTATCAGAAGTAAATTTCTGTGGTTTATAAGCTTTCTAGCCTCTGGCATTTTGTTATAACAGCCAAATACACTAAGACAGTAAGAAAATACAAACTATAAAAAACCAAGACACAGGACAGGATGTGGCCTTATGCTGATCACAACCACATAAACACATCCATCTGGACAATGAGAAAGGGACTCAGTCTGATGCTAGCAGCAGCAGCTCTGGATCACAGCTCCTTAGCTGTTCTCAGTAGAGGGATCACAGGAGGATAGTCTGGTTCATGACGGTTCATGCTGGACTGCAGAGCGCTATTCTGAGTACCAAAGTGAGTAAGGGTTTCAGTCCTTGACCTGCTCCCCATCAGCTATGTGATGCTGGGTGACTCATTAAACTAAATCTAGTCTTTTTTTATATGATCGGAACACTACAGCAGTTTTTTTTGGAGATAGGGCCTCATGTAGCCCAGGCCAGACTTAAATATGTTATGTAGCCAAAGATAATCTTGCAGTTCTGGTCCTGCTATCTCTACTTCCTGAGTACTAAGATTACTGGTGTAGGCTATCATGCCTGACTGTGCTGTGCCGGAGACTGAACTCAGGGTTTTGCATATGTTAGGCAAGCACTCTACCAACTAAGCCATATCCCCAGTCCCTAAAACCTGCCTTTGATGCCAGTGGGATGTTTGTTAATTAGTATGAATTAAATGAGACAAATACTAAAAAGCCCAGAGTCACAGGCGCTTAATCCATAGGGCCTCTGTGATTGTTCTCTGCCAGCTGTGGCACTATTAACCAATTTACTTCTGGCTCAAGGAATGAGAGGGATCTTACTTAGATTTTATCTACAATGGAACTCCTCTCCATCTCTGTTCCACTTCTGACCACAAAGTGGAGGTGGAGGCACTTGACAGAAGTGGCTGTAGTCTGGCTAGTTGCCAGCTTAGGGGAACTGGTTCCACCTGGACCCAGGCTTTGCTCAGCCTAGAAACCATGTTTTTTTCCTTTTTCTCCACCTTTGTTCTGGACTTAGGAAGCGCTGCTGAAGAATGTGATTAGAAGAAAACTAGTACTATGCGAACAACAGTCTGGCTGAGGGGATAGGACCCAGTCCTATTCTTCAGTCAAGGTTTGAACCACTATAAATTCCAGGCCACCAATCAAGTGTTATTTTTATCCTGGGACACTGACTGCTGTCTTGATCTGCTATCTTTAATTTCTAATTAGGAAATTTGTTCTCTAGTGGGTGACAACAGATCAAACCTTCACAGGGGTAATATCTGGCTGCTGTGGTGACCTCTGTGTCCCTAGGCCAATCCACTCTCATGTGCATAACTGCCCCAAGCAGGCCACAGAGGGTACGTACTTTTCTTTCTCTATCTCCATGGAAAGTCGCTTCATGTCAGTATCCTTGAAATCAAATGACAGACTGTCACCAATGATGTTGAAGCTCGGTATGTCAGGAGGAAGTGGCGCTGGGATTGGATTCATGGGCTGTCAGTGAGAAAGCTCAGATTAGGAGGTTTAAATTACACAGGACAAAGTCCTCTACACTTAGTACTGCCAGGTAAGTGGTCCCAAAGCACCCACATTCAGAGACGTCACTCTTCTCTTCTCAAACCTCATCATTTCCACGATCACTTCAATCAAATACAAACTTGCACTCAGTTTTTCGGGTAAGAAACTCCCAGGCACGGGGCTAAGAGCTGGACAGAGAGAAGATATGCTCCCTGGCTCTAAGCACATAAAAGTCTTGTTCAGGAAGCAGATGTCTGCAAATCCTCAACAGTTCAATAAGGTGAACAAGAGCCAGGGTGGGAACAGCAGCACGGTTGTAGACAGGGTGGAGTGGGTCCAACAGGAGCCCTGGGCATCTGTAGTGCCCTGTAGGGAGGCTGGTAAGAGACTGGCTTTGAACCAAAAGGTTTTTGCACATATGTTAGGGGCTTAGATTCAGAAGACAGAGAAAGAGGAGGGCTTAAAATAAAGTAAGATAAAGTCATTAGAATTGTTTTCAGGACCTTTTCATTCCAGAACAAAACATCACCTAATATACAGCCCTATCTACTGCTCAAGTGTCCCCATAATTTGTCCTGTTAAATTATAAACAGTACTGCTTCTTATCCCTGGGGCACGGCAGTTTTCCCATTTGTATACTTCTGTATGTATCCTTCTTTCTTTCCCTCCCTGCTGCTCTCCTCTCTCTTCTTCTTTCCTTGTCTTTTTCCGTGGTACTAGGGATGTGCACGTTAGGTAAACACTCTACCACTAATCCTATCTCCCCAGTCCTTTTGTTGTTTTTGAGATAGGATCTCACCACATATCCCAAGATGGTCTCAAACTGGTGAGGCTTCTGTCTCAGCCTCCTGAGCACTAGGATTACAGGTGTATGTCATCATTTCTAGCAAGTTCTCCATTCCTTGTTCAAGGTTCTCAACTCCTTCAGTTTCCCACCAAAGCTCTTCAAGACCCCTCTTGGCAAAATGGCTGTTTTTTCCCTTTGCAGTTCTTTAGCACGGTGTGCACAGTGCTGCTACAGGTCTTTCCCTCAAGCCCACACTGCAAAGTTCCATCGTAGTTATGTCTTTTTCTTTCTATGTCTATAAACTTTCTGAGGGCACACTCTGTCTTTCTCATCCTTGGATCTTTTCCCAGTATGGAACAGCGTGTGGAAGGAACCTCTGAGCTTTCATTTACGGCAATGAGGTCTAAGGCACGGAAAGTGGCAAATGTCAAATGTGGCTCTGAGCAGGGACATCTTGGCGCTACATATACTGTTTTCAGGAATAAATGCTGGATATATGGAGAGTCTGGCCTGTGAAAATCCATCAGGCTGGGTAGCTACAATTTAGATCCATCTATTTATCTTACACTTCAAAAAAATTCCCAGAAGAGAAGAGCACTAGCTGTTACCCTTCTGGTAAGAGCAGAAACAAGCACAACCTCTTAGGTAAGTATCACAATTGAGCACCTGACCTCACAGTTCTACTTATGAGAACTGATTCTACCAATACTGTCACATATATGTGCAAAGATTTGTATTCAAGGATGTTCAGTGCAGTTGTATTCAAAAGTGCTACAGAAAACATACTGAATACTCATCTATAGGGACTGGTTAGCTGAATTATAATCCACCCAGAGGACAGGATGTCATTAAGGAACTGGTGTTTTCTCCTCCCGGACACATTACTAAAAGAAAGAGCAAAGGGATAGTAATTTATAAAATTTGCTCCAATAGATGTTTAGACACATCTATTTCAGGTACACAGCCTAGCTGAGCCCTCAGACTGTCACAGTCCCAGCTGTCACATGAATGTGACCATCTGAGAGATCTTCAGAGAGGACATGAGTCTGATTAACACACCATGCCCAAGAGACAAATAAATGGTTGTTTGGAGTTATCTGTTACTCAGGAGTAGATAACAAGGACACATGGCAATAGCAAACTGCTTGCATTTCTCCAACTCACACCCTAGGCACTTATGTCTCTGTGTCCTGAATGCATCTGTGCAATATGTGAATGTGCCACGTGCACAAATGTGCACTGTGTTTGTCATGCACACGACTGTGCAGTGTGTGTAGCATATGTGAGAATGGGCTATGTATTTGTGCTGTGAATACACTGTGTCCTTGCCTAGAATATTCCATCCTCTCTTCCAGGCTCAGCAGGGAATCCAGCTCCTCTGCAAAATACAGTCACACCGAGTCTTTCCTGTCTCCAGAGCTGGGCTGTAATCTGGGCACCTGTGCATATCCATTAGGATAGAGATTTCCAATTGATATTATATGAATAGAGAATAAGTGAGCAAAACCTTTGCAGAGTGGAATGAGCAGAGGAAAGGAAAGGAAGGAAAGTGATGTCTACTTATTTTGTGATCCATTTAGTACAAGTCATTCTCCTAATCCCAAAACTGAGGTTGGCAGCTGGTTCTGGCATAGTGGTGTTTCACTCTGAAGTGTAGAGTCGGTCCCTTCACAGAACTATATTATGGTACATAGTTTATACCAAGAGCTGAAGATTACATTTAGCTTGACACTAGGGATCTAGACAGCAAACTCTCTTGAAGGTAGAAACTAGAGTAGTAATAAACATTCCAGAGCTGGAAATGGCCCTCTGGTCTGCTACCTAAGTAACAAGAGGTAACTGATTAGTCAGTCCAGGCTAAATGGCAGACTAGGGGTTCTATCCAGGCTCTCTATTTGCTTTGCTTTGTCATCCTAAAGGCACTATGAGGTGAACTAAAGGGCTGTGAGGTTTAAGGAAGTTGCTAGACCAAAGCAGCCATAGGCTGCTAGACTCAACCCAGGCTCACTGGATATGTAGGCTTGGTGGCAATTTCCAAGAGCTTCTGCTTGGCTCTTCGTTCTGCTTCTCGGGCTTCCTGCAGGTCTTGCTTTAACTGATCAGCCTCTTTGGCTCTGCAAAGAAAGAAAGATGTTAACTTCACAGAAAGGGACAGGGAGAACATCTAGAGCAAGAACCTAACTTAACCCTGTACATGGCACCTAACAAGGCAAACAAGGACAATGTGACAGGGACATTTACAGGAAGCCAGACTTCCAAAGTAAGAACAGTACTCCTGGGTATTGTTCATCTCAATGGTAAAGCTAGATTGTAATATGGGGTAGCTGTTGGGAAACAACCAAAGTGGCAGTTTTGCAAGCCAGCAAAAGTACAGTGGTTTGTGCCTATGGTGCCAGCTACCCCAAAGGCTGAGGCAGGGGAATCGTGTAAGGCCAGGAGTTGGAGGCCGGCCTGGGCAATATAGGTAGATGCAATCTCAAAATAAGAAAAAAACAAAAAACAAAAAAACTAGTGTGGTAGCTCAAGCCTTAAACTCCAGCACTATGAGGCAGAGGCAGGCAGTGTAGAGTAATTTCATTTGTATTTTAAATAAATAAAGCTTGCCTGAAGATCAGAGAGTAAAACAGCTCCATTGGTCAGTCTTACAGACCAGGCAGTAGTGACACACACTTTTAATCCCAGTAGCCACACTAGTTGTCATAGAAATCGGGTGGTGCATGCCTTTAATTTCAGTGGTGCACGCTTTTAATCCCAGCACTAAAGAAGAAGATGGGGGAGATAGCTCTCAGACACAGTCTTATTCTGAGATTCCTGGAGGCAGGAGCGCCATCTCAGATTGAGGTATAGGTAAGAGCCAGTGGCTGGCTGTTTTGCTTTTCTGACCTTCAAGTTGAACCCCATTTCTATCTCTGGGTTTTTATTAATCCTGCTACAAAGCAGATTTCTGAGTTTGAGGTCAGCCTAGTCTACAATAGTGGATTCTAGGACAGCAAGGGTTACATAGTAAAACCCTATTTCAAAACAAAGAAACAAACAAACAACGTCAACAATGAAACCAACCCACCTCTGAAACAGGTTGAGAGAAGAGAGAGTGGGAAGGGCCCAGAGACACTATGCTTATTTCTGGGTGAAGAGTGGGCAGGGCAAAGGAGGGCATCATCACAAGCCTTACACTGGAGTCACAAAGGGAGCAGCGTGAAAGAATTGTTTCTTCATATCCCCAGTAAAAACACTTGCAGGCTGGGCTGGAGAGATGGCTCAGAGGTTAAGAGCACTGACTGCTCTTCCAGAGGCCCCGAGTTCAATTCCCAGTAACCATATGATGGTTCACAACCATTTATAATGAGATCTGGTGACCTCTTCTGGTGTGCAAGCTTACAAGGAGGCAGAATGCTATATACGTAATAAATAAATAAATAAATCTCAAAACAAAACACTTGTAGATCAATTATTCACTTTTCTTGGGCAGGAAGAAATCCTGCCACTGAAGGCGTCTGAGTCTGTAGGAACCCTGTTCTATGAGCTAGGTGCAGTATGGAAGACTTGTACAGGAGTCCAGTCCTAGAGATATGGATCTATATACAGAAAGGGGCCTGGGGTGGACAGGCATCAAGGAACCATATTCTCAGAATGACATACAAAAATGGTGAGAGGAGCTGGGGAGATGGAACAGCAGTTAAGAGCACTGGCTGCTCTTCTAGAGGTTTAATTCCCAACACCTACATGGCAGCTCACAACTCTGACTCCAAGATCTGACAGCTTCACACAGACATACATGCAGGTAAGACACCAATGCACATTGAAAAAAAAAGTGGTGAGAAAAACTGTAGTGAATGTACCTTAGTAGCTAAGAGCCAAATTCAAGTGCTCTAAACTAACAGAGCCAGATGCTGTGGGGAATGTGCCAGTGTTTATCTGAAGGCTACAGGACCAGAACAATCCAGAGCCTAGAATAGTCTAAAGACTATAGGCAACAGTTCTATCCTTCAACCCGGCCACAAAACACACAGCTGCTCTGCTCTCCTATCTACCTACCTGAAGAACTGTAGGGAAACGGCACTTAGTTTCTGTTTTGAAGTAAATAATTGCCATTGATCTGCATCAAAAGGAAAGAGAACCAAGCTGATTTTGTGTGTGTATGTGGGTGTGGGCAGGTGCAGAGGTCAGTGTGGGATATAATCCTCTACTGCTCTCCACTTTAGTGGAGAGTCTCTTACTAAATAAGTAGTTCATTAATTCAACTAGACTGGCTGAGTGAGTTCCATGGATCCGCCTGTCTTTGCTTTCATTCCTAACTTCTGTATCGAGGCTATGGATAAATGTCACTGTGCTTAGGTTTTACATGGGTGTTGGGATACAAACACAGGTCTCCTCAGGCTTGTGTAGCAGGTACTTTACTGATTAGGCCATTTCCCTGGCTCCACTTCCCTTTAAAAAAATTATTTTATTATGTGTATGGGTGTTCTGCCTGCATGTATGTTTGTGTACCATGTGCATGCCTGATGTCCATGGAGGCCAGAGAGGAGGTTGAGTCCCCTGGAATTGGAATTATAAATGGTTTTAAGTCACCATGTGGGTGTTGAGAATCAAACCAGGTTCTCTAGAGACTAGCTAGTGTTTGTAACCTGTGAGCCATCTCTCCAGCACACTGCTTCCCCCTCTTTCAAATGTAAAAAAGTCTCTTCTCAATTCTTTGGCTAACAACAGACTATGGATATGTTTAAATGTTTTTTTTTTTCCTGCAAACTTCACTATTAGAAGGTGTAGAGGCATGACAGACAGGTTCCCTAGGCAAAATAACCATGTCCTATTCCAGTACTTCCATCCTACCAGCTTGTCAAGGAAGAAGTCGTATAGTCCTGTTTCCACAACAAAGAAGGTTTGGAACTAAATAAGCAATCTTTTACCAGGCTCCAGTGTCGAGGACAACCACTCACCTCCTCTCTGACTCCTCAGCCATTTTCAGTGCCAGCACTTCAGCCTCCAGCACCTTCTGCTCCATCAGGCGCTTTTCCTCCTCCGTCCGAATGGCTGTGGCCTTGATTCGCTGCATCTCTTGTTCAGCCTCTGCAGCCTTTTGTGCCAGAAGTTTGGCCTCCTCCTCTGTGATCTGTGCCTTTTCGGCCAACAGGTCAGCTGTTTCCTCAGACCGCATCTGGGAAGGAAAGATATATATGGTTATCTCCCCACGGACTCCCTAACACAGCAACAAGAACCAGGCTTTTTTTTTCTTTAAAAAACAAAACAAAACAAAACAAAAACCTTTATTTTTATGTGTATGGGTGTTTTGCCTGCATAACACCTGTACGTGCACCTGTATGTGCAATGCCTTTGAAAGCCAGAAGAGGCCAATGTATCACTTGGGGCTAGAGTTACAGAAGGTTGTGAGCTGCCATGTGGGTGCTGGGACTCAAATCTAGGTCCTCTGGAAGAGGAGTCAGTGCTGCTAACCACTGAGCCATCTCTTCAACCTCCAGGAACCAGTCTTAATCTCCCTATGTCTTCCCACTGAGAGACTCCCAGTCTGTTACACTAATGATTCAGCCCTGAAGGCCTTGCAGGCTCCACCACAGGAAAAAGAAAAAAAAATCATCCTATATAGAGAATGCATTTGAACAGAAGCTTATGTTTGTGGGGGAATAAACAATTTAAGCTCTGTTCTGTCCCTTTCAGTCAGTGATTCAAAAGTAGGAGTCATGCCCACTGCCTACTCCTGTACAAATGTCTGGAGATTATTTTCCTGCAGTGCTGGAGAATCAAATGTAATGTAGGCTGGGCATGGCAGGTATGCCTCTCCTTCAAACAGGTCAATAGTTTTCCTTGGTTTTATAATGAATTCAAAGTCCAATCCTGGGCACCTGAAACTTGTCTTCCAACTCATCACATCGCCAAACTGCATACATAAAAATGAATAAAAACGTAAAGCCTTGGGACCAGGTGGTGGCAGCACACACCTTTAATCCCAGCTCTCGGGAGGCAGAGGCAGGCAGATCCCTGTGAGTTCGAGGCCAGCTTGGTCTACAAAGTGAGTTCCAGGACAGCCAGAGCTAACAGTGAAATCCTGTCTCGAAAAACCAAAACCAAACCAAAACAAAACAAAAATACACTCCACATAAAGTCTTGGGCATGCTAGAAAATAGCTCTGCCACTGAGCCATATCCCAGTCCTAGGGTATTTTTAGACTGGAACGGCATTACTGGCAGCTAGCAGGTGGAGGTAAGGACATAACAAATATATTTCAATGCAGAGAACCACTCTGTTAGGAGTACCAGATTTTGGTTGGTACTACTTTCCAAAAGTTGCTAGGGCCAAGGCCAAGAACCCCGACTCAGAGGCAAGTCAGTTATGAAAGTGGAGTTTGACTGCAAATAAACTGAACCTAAATTTTCCAAAAAGAAAAAGTACTGGTGTTTTAAAAAGTGAGATAAATTCATGGTCCACAGAAGGCCTGATTTCACAAGTCCCATGTCACCTCCAAGAGCCCCAACCCTCAGAAATCACCAGGGCTTCATTGGCCATTGTCGCTTCTTCTTTCATCTGCAGAAGCCTCCTCTCTAACTCGTCCCTCGTGCGCTCAGCCTCCTCCCGCATCTGCTTCTCTCGAGCTAGCCGCTGACGCTCCATCTGGGGGTAAAAGAACAGTTCCAAGTCACAGTGCTGCAGAAACCCAAGAACGGGCAGTTTCTGGAGCCTCACTCTCCTCTGGGCTTCTTTCCAGTGTCTTCACTTGAGGTAGCCTGGGTCATTCTTGTCTGCTCTCTGTCCTAAACTAACTGCAGAATTAAAAGATGTACTTCTTGAAACAAATTCCAGTAGTGAGTACAAATTACAAAACCCAAATTCAGTCTCTGCATGAAGAGAAAAGAGCATTCTTGTACACAATATGATATGACCTTACAAAGCTCTGTTATTTAGGAAACCTCACATGGCTCTGTTCTCTGAATGGCAGTTCTCCATACAGGTTCCTCCTCCCCAAAACAGTGGCCCAGAAAAACACAGCTCTCTTATCTGTTCAGATGAGCCACCTTGACATTTTTAGTCCCTACGGCCCCTTCACACAATTTCATCCACAATAGCACCACTTCTCCCTCTGCTTACAGAGAATGATAGTTCCCACTCCGAATTTCACAGCAGGAAGCTGCAGTGGTTTTGCACGGTCTTGTACAGCCCCATGTGGAGGCAACTCACAGGCAGGCAGGAACACAGACCCCATCCTTACAGAAACAGTACAAAGCCTCTACTGCCACCCCCTAGCCTTCTGGATCACAATGTTAATTGGGCCACCTGCCAACCTTAATAAGTAGACCAAGACTAAAGACAGCACAGCTCCCTGTAATTCCAGGGCACTGAGTTCAGAAAGCAGAAGCCAGAAGTGGTCAATGTACTATTTTCTGCCTTAGATAACAAAATCATGTTTAATTACTCCTTCTGGCTTCAATCTCACCCAAACTCTAGTACTACAAGGCCACCCTTTCTAAATATGAAGTTCCCTAAGCGCCCTGTAATTGAAAGAATCATGCAAAATAGATAAGCAATAAAGTAAGTTCTTTGATTTTCCTCTTGACCTCAGTGAACAGTTGGCAATCTGTTCTTCAATTTCCACTAAAAATACAATTTCCATTTCCATTATTCTCCTTTTGGGAAAAAAAAAAAAAAGAGGACCAGGCTGTCCCCAGTTCCCAGCCTTGTACTTTCTATGAGACCTTCACCTAAATAATAAAGGACTTTCTGTCCTTACGAAGATTTTCAGATGCAATCCGTCCTCTGAAAAGAGGCAACACCAGCTCCACTTGACAGATGAGAAAACTGAGTCACACAGATGGAAAGATTTAGCTGCAAGGTTGCCGTGTTCCATTGGGCAGCATTTGTACTGCTCCCTCCCAGGGCCCAGGGGCCGTCATGCTCCTTGATGCCTTTAGATCTCTAACTTCTAAACTTTCCTCTGCTGAAAGTAAGGTCAACAAGTGTGCCTCTTAAAGTTGTCACTACTCCTCCATGCTAGCGTAGTAGCAGTTTTTTGTTCAGTAGAACCTATACCATTATCCCTAAAGCATCCAAAAGAAGACACTGATGGTCTACTGTTCCAGAAAGCAGAGGGCACTCACAGCTCACTGCCTCACACTGGGTATTTCTCTCTAAAGCCTGGGGCTAGGAGCCAGCCTCTCTGGGGTTCCCAAATCAGAGAACACCACACAGCCTAATTATTACACCGCTGAGCTTGCAAGTCCTGAGGGGAGCCAACTGCAGCTGTAGCTACTCTATCAAACAGTTCATCCCAGACCACAATTGAAATTCTCAGCAGCAAGGCTCAAACTAGCTGTGGATTTCAGTGAGCAGAGGTCTGTGAGTAGAAAACATCAATGCAGCCAGTCCAGTCTGCTGATAGGTGCTGCCAGCACCTCCTGCAGAGGGCCAGCCATGTGTGTCCAGCTGACCTGCAGCAAGGAGTGCAGCGGGAGCCTAATTAGCATTCCACAATATGCACTGAAATGCCGTCTTCTATTCTATCACCATCTAATTAGAAAGGGCACTGACTTGGCAGGGAAGACAGATGTAAAGAAGGACAGCTAGACAGACAGGGAGACAAAACCATGCCTGGTTACCTTGTCCCAAGTCTGTGATAAGTATAAACATGACTAATGATCTTGGTTTTTGTTTTTTTATTTTTTTTGTTGTTTTTTTTTTAAGGTATGCTATTGGAACTTACTATGAATTTCCCTTAAAATTTTTATTATGTCTATTTTATTCGTATATGTAAGTGTGCATGTGACAGTCATAGAACAACTTATAGAAGTCAGTTTTTCCCTTCTACCATTTGACTGCCAGGCATCAAACCCAGGTTGTCAGGTTTGGTGGCAATTACCTTTACCCACTGAGCCATCTCGTCAGCCCAAGTGCTTAGTTTCATAGTTGACAACCCATTATCTGAGCATTAGCTAAAAAAGATCCAACAGGAATGGAATAAGACAGGTATGTCTATTATCAGGCTGACAATAGCAATCCTTTATCTCGTAGGCTGAGACTGACCAAAAGCAATATCATCAATTAAAACAAGGTCTTTAGGATGGATGGTGGTGGCACACACCTTTCATTCCAGCACTCAGGAGGCAAAGGTAGGCAGCTCTGTGAGTTTGAGGCCAGCTTGGCCTACAGAGGAAGTTCCAGGACAGTCAGAGCAGTTATACAGAAAAACCCATCTCAAAAAAACAAAAAACAAAACAAAACAAAAACTAAACCAAGCCAAAACAACACAATATCTTTAATGATTATTATTCATTAATGTGTATGAGTGAGAACACGCAATTTGTGGCACATGTGCTATGGTGCATGTGTGGATGTCAGAGGACAACTCTGTGGAGTCTGTTCTCTTTCCATCTTTCCATAGGTTTCAGATATCACATAAATAATGTCAGGTTTGCACAGCAAGTACTTTCCCTTGATGAACAACCACCTTGCTAGCCCTAAAACCGTGTCTTAGTTGGGCATAGTGGCACGTCCGTGATCCCAGAATTAGGGAGGCTGAGGCAAGAAAACTGTCTTGCGTTTGAGGCCTGACTTGGCTCCACAGAGTGTACCAGGCCAGCCAGGACTACATGGTAAGAATGTGCCTTAAAAAAAAAGAGAGAGAGACTGGAGGGATAACTTAGTTTTAAAAAAGTGCTTAATATGTAAGTATGAGTACCTGAGTTTGATTCCTAGCACTCATAAAAAAGGTCAGGCATGGTAGTAGCATACTAGGAATGTAGAAACAGCCAGAGCACTAGGGCTTGCTGGCTTAGCTTTATCAGTGAGTCCCTGGTCACTAAGAGACTTTGCCTCAAAAGATAAAGTATATGTTCCTGAGGAATAATACCCAAGTTTGACCTTTGGCCTCCAAACTCAAGTGCACAAAAACATATATATATACAAACCAAATGAAAGAAACAAAACCTGAAGTCTTACTCACCTGCTTCCTAGCCTTCTCCTCCCGGGCCTGGGCTTTCATCTGCTGAACTTCTAAAGAGTCAGCCTTCCTTCTCCTCATAAATAGGTCATGGTTCCCAATACATAGCTGGAGAATCTATGGCCATAGAAATAGGAGGAAATATGGTAAGTATATAAATTTACTTTGTGCGGCACTCGGGAGGCAGAGACAGGCAGATCTCTGTGAGTTCGAGGCCAGCCTGGTCTACAAGAGCTAGTTACAGAACAGGCTCCAAAAGCTACAGAGAAACCCTGTCTCAAAAAACCAAACCAGCCAGCCAACCAACCAACCAACCAACCAAATAAATAAATAAATAAAAATGCCATTTAGCTGGACGGTGGTGGCATGCCTTTAATCCCAGCACTTGGAAGGCAGAGGCAGGGGAATCTATGTGAGTTCCAGGCCAGCCTGGTCTATAAGAGCTGGTTCCAGGACAGGCTCAAAAAGCTAAAGAGAAACCCTATCTCAAAAAACAAAAAAACAAACAAACAAAAAATTTACTTTGCTGTCTACCAGCCTGCCATGCCACAGCCGTAAACCTGAGGAAGAAAGGATGGAATAAAACACAAAAGCCATGCTCTCAGTTCTGGACGCATACACAGTGAATAGAGGACGCTCCATTCATCACCACAGTGTCCTAAGTCAGGATGTGGCAAGACAGATGGCAGATCAGGGACCATCAACCAGGATTGGGTTGGGTCAAAGGTTAATTTTACGGAAAGAAATAAGCTGGCTTTCTCCCTCATACCAAAAAGCTGATTCCAGTTTCAAAGGTAACTTTTATTTGAAAATACAGAGTATTTTTTAAATCAAGATAAGACATCAAGTAAGAAAACACAGAAGAACAAATGATCGAGGTTGTTTTTGAGGAGGGAGGTTCAAGACAGGGTTTCTCTGTGTAGTCCTGGTGTCCTGGAACTCGTTTTGTAAACCAGGATGACCTCAAACTCACAGAGATCCGCCTGCCTCTGCCTCTCAAATGCTGGGACTAAAGGTGTGTGCCACCATTGTTCACCCAGTTACGATGAAGTATTTCATGTGTCGACATGTTACTCGCCATTACATCATAGAGAAGGAAAACGAGCCTCACAAGGAGGATAATTATTAAGAAAGAAAACAAATAACCCAAGAGAAAAGTGGCCAAAAGACCCAAAGCAAGAACTGAACAGGAAATTAGATTTGATCAACAGATATAAAGATGTAACTTCATTAGTAATTATAAAATGTAAATCAACATGGCAAGTGGAGAGCTGAGACACACCTCAGGTAGAATGTTTTCTAACATGCACTGACAGGCACTAAGCTCCAGATTTTATCTCCACTCCCCATCTCCCCTCCCCTCAAAAAGGTTAACTGTATAGGTTAAACCAAAGAGAAAATTATATACGAAATTAAATATTATTTTATAGCTCTTAGCAAGAGAAACTAGGGCCAGCTCCCTTGCAGAGAAGCATGTGTGTGTGTTGTGTGTGTATACATACATACACACAGATCATTTAATTCCTTAGAAAGGTTAGTTCTCTGTCATGAAAATTAGGCTCTCAACTTACCAGCTTATTAACACGAAGCTTCGAGGAGTTAAATTTGAAGACATCAATTTTCTTATCCAGTGGCTTAATAGTAAACTGAAAGAAAGAAGTACAGTATCATATGACACCAATCAGAAATCCACAAAGTAGCAACTACACCACCTCTAGTCCTGGCCCAGGAATAAAGCCTTGTGTAAGTCTGAGGCATACAGGGCCCAAGATTGGGGCTGCAGAATTTCATGACCCTAACCATCTTGGGTAGCTATGAGGAACTGAACAGTGGCACCCAGCCACACTGACACAGCTCCTTGCCTTCATAAAGCTTGCAGTCTAGTAGGACTTAGTCCAACAACAGCCAAACACTCAAGAGATAACATCATATATCAGTGTCTCATTGGTGGGACATGTCACAAATATCCTAGAGGTTTAGAGCAGATCTAGCACAAATGAGGTATTACAGCTGGTCTTAGAAGTATATGGCAGAATAGCTAAAAGATAGGGTGGAGGGGCATTCTAGACAAGTCAAGTAATAAGAATAAATTCAGTATCTAGCATTGAAATTAGAAGAGGAGGGGATGGTGAGCAGGATATTGACCACATTAGCTCTTTAGTAATTTGCAGTGATACAGCAGGCTTAGATGGATAGGAATGCTGACAGGTGGTGAAGAAGAAAAACCTCAGAGGGGGTGACTATTGTGGAATATTATTTTAACTGGGCAAAGATGTGTTACATTCACTTATGCTGTGGAGCATTTAACTGTAAAGGTGTGTGGCATTTGTTTCTGCTGCATTTGTTTAATTATTAAAAAGATGTGTTGCTGTTTCACATTGCTGGCCTAAGGAATCTGATTGATCTAGTAAAAAGCTGAATGGCCAATAGTCAGGAAGGAGAGGGACAAAGCTGGCAGGCAGAGAAAATAAATAGGAGGAGAAACCTAGGTTGAGAAGAGAAGAGAAGCAAAGGAGGTAGATAAAGAGGAACAAGTTAATTTAAATTAAAAGAGCTGGCCAGAAATGAGTCTAAGCTAGGTCAAGCATTCATAACTAATAATAAATCACCATGTCATGATTTGGGAGCTGGTTGGTGACCCAAAAAAGAAAGCTTGGTACAGATGACACTTAATACAGCAAGTTACTATGGGTTTCTGAACATGGTCAGTAGGTAAAAGATGCTAAGAGAAGAAATACAATGTGAAGAAAAATAGATTGCTGTAAAAGAGAAAAATATAGTTCCTGAAATCAAAAGGATTTTGACAACTTAGAAAGAGAAACTTAAAACACAGACATAGAGACATAGACACACACACAAGTCAACTGCTACTCTGAACCACTGAGGAGACCAGAGAGCTGCCAGATTCCAAGAATGCCCCTGGAAATGTAACTCAGCTGAACATGATAACACACACCTGTCATACTAGCACTCAGGGAGGAAGATAACAAGTTTGAAGCCAATCTGTTCTATATAAAGAGTTCCAGGCCAACCAGGACAACATAGACCCGCTTCAAAACCAAAGCAAGGGACTGGAGAGATGGCTCAGAGGTTAAGAGCACTGGCTGCCCTTCCAGAGGTCCTCAGTTCAATTCCTGCAACCACATGGTGGCTCACAACCATCTATAATAAAATCTGGTGCCCTCTTATGGACTGCAGGCATACATACAGGCAGAACACTATACATCATAAAATAAATCTTTTTTTAAAAAAAGCATATCTAGATCAAATATATTTTTTTAACATTTATTTATTTATTATGTATACAATATTCTGTCTGTGTGTATGCCTGCTGGCCGTAAGAGGGCACCAGACCCCATTACAGATGGTTGTTAGCCACCATGTGGTTGCTGGGAATTGAACTCAGGACCTTTAGAAGAGCAGGCAATGCTCTTAACCTCTGAGCCATCTCTCCAGACCCCCAGATCAAATATATTTTTAAAATATTTATCTATTTATTTATTATGTATACAATATTCTGTCTGTGTGTATGCCTGCACGCCAGAAGAGGGTGCCAGACCTCATTACAGATGGTTGTGAGCCATCATGTGGTTGCAGGGAATTGAACTCAGGACCTTTGGAAGAGCAGGCAATGCTTTTAACTGCTGAGCCACCTCTCCAGCTCAAGATCAAATATATTTTATATGCATATATGAAAATGCCTTCCTGACACCCATTACTTTGTACAATTAGCATATGCTAACAAATATTGTAAAAGTACACACACATTCCCAAGAAAGACTTGTACAGCCACCCCTAGCAAAGCAGGAAAGAATAAAAAAAAAATGATTGAGCCAAAGATACAGGTCTTGCCTGCATGTGGTTTCCATCCTCAGGACTACTAAATATAAAACAGAAAATGAAACAAAAAAAAATGAGTTGCTTAGCAAATAAACTTGCCGAGGAAGGCAAATTCTTGGATATTTCTTTACATGTTTATATTGTCCAATGAGAAATGAGCACACATAGAACAATGACAAAAACATTCTTTGTTTAGACTTTGGACAAGTTAATTTAGTCATAGTATTGTTCTGGTGTAGAATATTACTTATGAATTTCATAAGCTTATTTTTAGCCCTGTTAATGAACCCTAGAGCTATGAGTGGGAAGTCACAAAAAGTATGGAAACCATAGACAGGCTCTCTGTCACGTCAGGCTATACACAAAAAAATCACTCAACTGTTTAAGCAGGATGATTGCTATACATAAGTCCCATTAAGGCATGCCCAAGTAGCTTGGAGTCTACTTGCCATGCAAGATACCGATATGATAGAACATGATGGAACCTCACCCCTAGAGAGGGTACATTAGAGCTGGTTGTGTTACAGGGTATACTAGGGGACGTTAATCCTTGAGCTCTGAAAAACAAGTATTTGAGGAACCATTAGCAAAAGTGGGAAGCAAAGGACTAGTTACACAGTAGAACACTGACAACTTTAAGTCATGTGGAGCTTCCAATTTAAGAACCTGAAAAGAAACAAACAAACAAACTACTACCTAATGCTCACTTCTCAGGATAACCAGCTACAAAACCCACTGTCAGAATGTTTAGATTAAGAAATGCAATTGGCCTGGCAAATGGCTCAGCAAGTAAATATGTGGGGGGCTGGAGAGATGGCTCAGCGGTTAAGAGCACTGGTTGTTCTTCCAAAGGTTCTGAGTTCAATTCCCAGCAATCATATGGTGGCTCACAACCATCTGTAATGAGATCCGGCACCCTCTTCTGGCGTGCGGGCATATATGCAGGCAGAATGTTGTATACATAATAAATAAATAAATCTTAAAAAAAAAAAGAATGGAGTATGGTCAGGCAGTGGTGGTGCACACCTTTGATCCCAGCACTCAGGAGGCAGAAGCAGGTGGATCTCAGTGAGTTCAAGGTCAACCTGGTCTACAAAGTGAGCTCCAGGAGAGCCAGGGCTGTTACTCGACCAAAAAAAAAAAAAAAGAACAGAGTGTGACCCCTGCTACAACATGGTTAAGGAGAGAAACGACGCCTAACAAGTTGTCCTCTGAACACTCACCTTGGCACATACTACACCCCTTCACCCCCTTCCTTCAATAAGTAAATAGATAAATGTAAAACAAGCAGCTTACTTTTATTGAGTTCGGTGTGATAATGCCTAACTGTAACACCAGCACTTAGAGGTGTTGAGACAAGAGGACTGCTAAGTTCCAGGCTATGCAGAATGGCCCTGTTTGAAAGATAGAAATAGAGGGAGAGGAAGGGAGGAGGCAGAAGAGAAGCAAGTTCAATTTGCTTCAGCAAGCATGGTTGAGTAATCTAAACCACAGATTGGAAACAAGGGCCTAGTATTCCTTTCCTTGAGTTGCTAAAAAAGAAAGAAATTTGCTCCAAGACCTGCAGACAACATAACATATCACTATTCCTCATTGCCTACTCTGCCGTGGATGTGCACAGACCAGGCTGCCTGCTTCTGCCTGGTGTCTTGTGTTCTCAGGATCCAGTCTCTGGAACTCCCTGAGAAGCAGAAACCACTCTGGTTCCCAGTCCTTGCCACTCTACCCATCAGACACAAGATCTCAATGTACCTATTTTCTGGAGACATGGATATCAAACATATCCCTGTCTTTACATTAATTTCTTCTGAGAACTTGATCAGACAGCCAGAGTTAATGCACTTGTAAGTAGAGACCCTCCACAACAACATCATTAGCGCCTCCCACTTTACTCGTTTATTTATTTATTTATTTACTTATAGAAGGGTGGAGTACATGCCCAGGTATATGTATGAAGGTCAGAGACAACCTGTATAAGTTATTTCTTTTTTTTCCCCCACCATGTGGGTCTTAGGAATTGAAGTAAGGTAGTTCGGCTTGATAGCAAGTACCTTTACTCACTGAGCCATCTGAGCAGCCCACATTGTATTTATGTACTAGAGCAGTCAAGCCATTACTGACTGGAGGGCTAATGCTGGACTTTCCTCATTTCTGTTTGCTCTCTGGCACAAAGCAGATGTTCAATAATTCCTTTAAAATTAATGAATAGGGGGGCTGGAGAGATGGCTCAGTGGTTAAGAACATTGCCTGCTCTTCCAAAGGTCCTGAGTTCAATTCCCAGCAACCACATGGTGGCTCACAACCATCTGTAATGAGGCCTGATGCCCTCTTTAGGCATGCATGTAGACAGAATACTGTATACATAATAAATAAATAAATATTTTTTTAAAAAAATTAATGAATAGGAAGCCAGGGTAATGCTCAGTAGGACAGCAAAAGTCTTGCATGTGCAAGGCTCTGGGTTTGATCCCCAGCACCATATAGTAAAGATTAAAAAAATAATAATGAATACATAAAACATAGGACTGCTGCATTTGAAGAAAGCCATCATCTTATATAGAAATACGTGAATCCACTCTGGGCATATGCCTGTAATCTCAGAATTTGGGAGGCTGAGGCAGGAGTACAGCTGTCAGTTCAAGTCATTTTGGGCTACACAGAAATATTTGAACCTAATGAATGTTATCTAAATTCCTTAAACTATATCCCCTAACCCTTCCAAATATGGATGGCAGCCTGCTATCTTCACTCACGTTACTGCTGAGAGAAATATCCACTGATGGCTAATCTTGGTTGTCAATTTGAGACCGCACCTAGAATCAAGGAATCAATTAAAACCCAAGCTGTTAGACACTCCGGTGAGGGCTTTTCTTTCTTTTTTCCTTTTTCAATTTTATTTATTTATTTTTGTTTTGTTTTGTTTGTTTGGTTTTTCCAGACAGGGTTTCTCTGTGTAATAGTCCTATCGACACTAAAACTTACTCTGCAGACAAGGCTGGCCGCAAACTCACAGAGATCCACCAGCCTCTGCCTCCCAAATGCTGGGATTAAAGGCGTGTGGGATTTTCTCAACCAGATTATGAAGCAGGAAGACCCACCCTAAATCTGGGTCATCTTTTCTGGTGGTAGCCCACATAAAAGGACACAGAATAAGGATACTTTGCTTTTGCCTGCTTGCTCTCACTCTTGCTAGCAAGTTTATATATCCTGGTGCTACAGCATTCCTTTACCAATATTAGAACTGACTTCAATGGGATTACAACACAGACTAAAAACCAAAAGTTCTTCTGGAATCCCCCAGGCCTTCAACACACATTGAGATTGCAGAGACATCTAGCCTTGTGGATTGAAAAACTACTGGATTCTCAGTCTCTCCAGTGTGAGAAGGTCATTGTTGGACTACTTGGGCTGCATGCTGCAAGCGAATCTAATGAATACCCTTTTAATATACATATTCATCCTATCTGTTCTGTTTCTTTAGAGAATCTTGACTAATACACCTCTTGACAAATACAAAATATATAACTGTCAACCTGGCATGGTGGTTCACCCCTTTAATTCCAACATTCAGGAAACAGAGGCAGATCTCTGAGAGTTTAAGGCTGGCCTGGTCTACTGGTCTAAATAGCAAATTCAAGGCCAGCCAGTACTACACAATGAAACTCTGTTAAAAATCAAGACAAAGCACCCTCCCCAACATGCTCACTCTCTCTCTCTCTCTCTCTCTCTCTCTCTCATGCACTTTCCCACTACATGTATCAAACACAGTACATAGAGAAGCTTAACATAGACCACACTTAAAATACAAAGAAACAGACAGTCAAGTTATCAGAAATGTTCCTTTTTCCTTCTTCTGTTCTTTGGGGTTTAGTCTTGACAGGTTGAGCTGCTTACTCTCGTTAGTCAATAGTGGGCTTTAGCCATGTCCTTTGAAGAAGGGATGCCAAAACTGTTCTGTAAGTACTTTAAAAATCAACAACCAAAGTTCTAAAGCCTGAGAATTAAAAGACTTTCACTGACAAGGAAATGGCCTGGATTGGGAGCTTTGGCAAAGAGGAGAAACAGGAAAGGACCTTTTGCAGGACCACTGTACCACAAGTGGCACCTGTAGTATAGACATGTCCTACCTCCTTGTCACTGTAGGAGATGTTTCGGATTTCATTCCATGGGAAGGAGATCTTGGGGGTCAGCCTGTTCTCAGGATCATAGATATGAAGCCCCAGAGCATCCACACCAAGCAGCAACTCTGTGCCCTTTTTATTCTGCAGAGCCAATAAAGAGCAGCTGTTGTTAGCTTCCAGCTGGGGATTTTAGTAAACTTTCTAAAGAATTTGGCATACATTGTTGTATTTGACAAGTTTCAACAGAAACCACAGCTCTCTTGTAACCCAGGAGGCTTCCAGCTTCTGAATTTAGGGAAGAAGAGGCAAAACAATACCATTTTTTGATAGGTGTGTCCCTTGAGTCACTGTGGACTCAGGCTCTCGTCACTGGCTTGGTGGTTGAAGAAATGGTAATTTAAATGTTGTGAGTACTACTTAAATAACCAGATTATCAGAGGAGGGCCAAAATCCACATGTTTGAACATTTCCTCCACATGGTGCTACTGTTACTTTGTGGTAATGTTCTTGTCTGGCACATACAAAGCCCTAGATTTGATCATCATCATCACACACATAAAAGTTGCTGGATGGCTAGGAGAAACTTCAGTCTAGGAACTAGATGGTTTTATTTTAGATTACAATGCAGTCTTGTAGTTTTACTATACTATACCCCAATATGGTAAAACGTTAACTGTATTTTAGGGGTAGCTACGTGGTGGGTATATATGGCATTCATTGAAAACTTAATTTTCCCATATGTTTCAAATGCCTGATAATTAAATGTTGGAAGAAATGTATACAAATTATACTTCAATGAAGCTGTTTAAAATACCAGTTAGTTATATAAATGCTATATCTCTGAGGGGATTCCTGGGCAGCAGTTAGTACAACCAGAGGCTTAGTGCCCTGTGCTCCATGTTACTGACAGCTATGGAGCCACTGGCTCCATCCTCATAGGCAGACCAATTTGCCATTGTTGTTTAGCCTTTGTAGTGGGAAGAAACTCCCTGCACACACAAGGATGCTCTAGCTCCTGACTCCTGCTGACAGCAAGGAAATGGTGCCAAGACTCAAGGGTAGGACAGCAGATCTGAACACTGAGAAGTACCAATCTAACAGCAGGTGTTAGATGGGGAGATGTGCGTTCTAAGATAAATCTCTCTGTTCGTTCTAACACCTGAAACCAGGCACTGCCACCCAGGCACAAGAGTGTTCTTCTTGTCTGGAAAGCTTTTCAAAGTGATGTGCTAACAGAAGTGAAGACTTGTGTTCTTACATCTGTACCCCATTTTGGAAAATAAGATACTTCTTTATGTTTCTGATGATTTAAATAAAAAAAGAAAGGGTTCCACCTTTTGTTATCATTATGACTATAATACTCCTAGAGACTAGAGAGGGGTAGCATAATAACTCCTCTGAGATTGTTTTAATCACCTAGTACCCCATTAATATGTTCAAATACCTAATTATCAGTTAAAATAAAATGTTTTTAAGCATTTATCTTCCCTAATGATAGAATTTAAGATCTCTAACATAAAACTACTAAAATGTCTTTAACTTTGTCTATTGTTCAACATAAAAACATACAAAAAGTAGTTCATGCTCATCTGATTCATGAAGAAATATTCCCACGAAGAAGCAGCAGCTGGTTTGGAGACTGCTGAGTAGCTTAGTGAGTCAAATCGCTTACTGCCACACCTGATGACCTGAGTTTGACCCCCCAGAACCCACATGGTAAAAGAAAACTCTAGCATGTGATCTTCTGCTCACCACCAGGAATAAATAGATAAACAAATGAAACAATAAATAAATATGTATAATTTTTTTCTTCTAAGTAAAATAAATTTATAAGGAACATTAGTGGTTTTTTTGGTTTTTGTTTTATTTTATTTTATTTTTGAGATAGGTTGTTTCTGTGTTGCCCTGGCTGTCCTGGAACTCACTCTGTAGGCCAGGCTGACCTCAGACTCAGAGATCCACCTACCTTTTCCTTCCAAATGCTGGGATTAAAGGTGTTCATTATCACTGCCTAGCCTAATAGGGTTTTGTTTTTTGTTCTTGTTTTTTTGAGACAGGAGGTTTCTCTGTAGTTTTGGAGCCTGTCCTGGAACTTGTTCTGCAGAACAGGCTGGCCTCAAACTCACAGACATCTGCCTGCCTCTGTCTCCTAAGTGCTAGGATTTAAGGCATGTACCATCACTGCCCAGCCCTAAGAGGTTTTTTTTTTAAGGACTGCAAAATGTTTTCTTTCTTCCTTTCTTCTTTTCTTTCTTCCTTTCTTTCTTTTTTTTTTTTTTTAAATACAATTAATAGTGGTGGTGGGTAACGGAAGTTAGTTGGGTTGACAAAACCACAGAAACCCACTAAATTGGCCTAACCTCAAAGAAGTGGATGTTACGTAAAAATGAATGAATCTTTTAATTATTTTTTATTTACTTATATGTGTTGTGTCTGTGCATGCATGTTTATGCTACAGCACACATGTGAAGCTCTCAGGACAATGTACGGGAATCAGTTCTCTGCTTTGACCATGTAGATTCCATGAACTGGATGTCAGGCCAGGCAGCAAGTGCCTCATCTACTACTCATGAAACATTAGAGACAACCCTCTGCATTCTTTTTGTTTTAAGATTTGTTCTTTTTATTATTTTTAGCTACATATTTATATGTCTGTGCACATTAAGTGCAGGTGCCCTCAGAGGCTAGAGGCATCAAATTCGCTCTGGAATTTAAGTCTCAGGCAATGTGAGCCTCCCAAACTGAGAGCTGGTAACTGAACTCAGGTCCTGATGCAAAAGCAGTATGTGTTCTCAACTATGGAGCCATCATTTCAGCCCCTGCAACTTTCTACATTCTTATAAATACCTTTTTAGGCCCCTGCTTATTATAGCAGAACATTTCAGTGTGCCCTGTTTTGTTTTTTATGCAAAGAAATCCACAAAAACCTGTATTTAGAAAACAAATTAAGTAGAAAGCTATACTGGAGATGTGCTTAATTCCATTTACTTCAAGTTAACATAAAGATGTAGGATCCTGAAAAAGGAGAGCAAAGATTAACTGAAATCATAAAGGCAGAAGATGACTGCAGCTGATCTACTCATCTGTGGTCATCTTGACAACAACTCATCCAGCAGGAAAGAAAAGCTTGAGTATACAGCACGGACTCTGTTGGAAGAAGCCATGGATAGATACACTGCAACCAGAAGCCAAATCCTACAAGAGGAGAAATGTATACTCTAGGGCCAGATCTGAGCAGAACACAAATGCCTTTCTTTGCAGAAGCACTGGTTCCCAGAGGCCTGGGGACCATTAATGGTCTGAATAGAAAACTAATTAGCCTCTAAGTGAGAATAAGAGTTCCACCCAAAGAAACCAGGAATCTGTAAGAGCAACCTTACTTTCCGTGGGCCCCTGGGAAAGATATTATTTCCAGGTACTCCTTGAATCTCACAAGAGGCCAGAACTATCAAATATTACATGGTCAGCATTCCAACAAGTTTCGCTGAAGAGAACCAGGCCTATGTCCCAGAATGTACCACTGACAATTACCTCTGATCTAATTTGAAGTCCCCGAATAAAAGAGGAGGCTCTAGATCCCTGTCTTTCTCTTTTCTTCTTTACCACTGAACCATAAAAGACTCTAACTACCCTGGAATGAGGAAGTAACCCACTAGGCTATGTGGCCCTGGCTCAGTCTATCCGGTAGACAGGAAACTTGGGGAGGAGTTAACACACCCGGATTGCAAAGTAGTTCACCCCGTACATCTCCAGGTCCTGCGCTATCTTCAAATACTCCATTTCAGCTTCATCCCTGTAAGGAGAATGGAAGAACACCGTCACTGGGGCTAAGTGACAAGGGTGGAGGACAGACACTTGCCAAGCCAAGTATTCTGAGCATGCCTATCCTATGGATTTACGACACCTGCAGAAGATAGGAGACAGACCAGACACCAGCAGAGCTTTTTCCAATCCAGAGTCTATTAAACACAAGCAGCAGAATTTCCCATCCCCGTGAAAATAAGAAAACAGACTCATTACACTGTCTCTTGGCTTCAATTTCACACTCTGCCCTTGGTAAATAGTGGCATCTGTCTCAAGGGATTAAAAAAAAAGAATGTGGGGGTTGGGAGTGTAGCTTAGTGGTACAGCACTCACTTAGCACGTGCACAGCTGAGTTTCATCCCTTGCAATAGTAAAAAGAAAAACCAAAACCATGGTGTGTTATTTTCAACCTCAGATGAATTATTTAAACTGTTGTCTTATCTCTATGCACTTTCTTAACCCAGAGGTTTTAGGAGTGAACAAGCTTTTCTACACACTATGACAGCTTCTACTTCCCCGACTTTGTCTCTTGGGGTTAAGAGACAAAGGAGTTACTGTTGAAGGTTAAGGCAAGAACTATCTGAGCCATGAAACCCAGGACAGTGGATGAATATTTTGTGTTATAATTCAAAGTTAAAGCAAGCTCTGGAAGCAGCAGTGACTTGCAGAAAACTCCCCAATAGTTAAATGTATTGAAGTAATTCAACTCAAGCTTCCCTATGACCTTGTCCTTGTCCTTCTCTCTCTCACATCTCAAAATGCTCTCAGATGGATTTTAAAAATTCACCCTGAGAGAATGCCAAGTGTTGGCAAGCAGGTGGAAGAACCAGAAATCACACACACTGCTGATGTAAATTGATTCAATTACTTTGGGAAACTGTTCAACATTACCTATAACAGCAAAAACCAAGAAACAACCCAACAACTCAAGAGTCCGTCAACAGTAGAATGGATAAATAATCCATTATACTAATATACTGGAATTCTGCACAGCCATGAAAATGGGAAAATTATTGCTACATGCCATGTACTCAAATCTCACAAGATGATCTTGAGGGAAAAAAAACACTTAATATAGAAATTGGTGCATTTATCTAAAGTTTAAAATGGATGATGATGGACTAAAGATGCAGCTCAGTGATAGAATAGTTAGCTGCCCAGCAGACGAGAGACCTTGTACTTGATCCTCAGCACTACAGACTAGTAATATAACAATGGTAAATTAAAAAAAAAATCAATGGACAACACTAGTCTATGGGAACACTAATTAAAAATTGGGAAACTGAATTAGGTGTGATGGCACAAGCCTTTAATTTCAACATTAAGTAGAGATAGGTGGACTTCTGTGAGTGTAGGCCAGCCTGAAATACATAGTAAGTTCCAGGACTACAAGAGCTACATAGTAAGACTTTGACCATGAAAGAAAGAAAGAAAGGAAGAAAGAAAGAGAGAGAGAGAGAGAGAGAGAGAGAGAGAGAGAGAGAGAAAGAAAGAAAGAAAGAAAGAAAGAAAGAAGCTGGAAAACTAGTTATCTCTGGGGAGAAAGTCATGGGCTATTATCTTTTTGTGATAAATGATCAAACAGTGTACTTATGATCTGTCTTTTGTGGGTATAAACAAAAGAGAAGACTCAGAAATGCCTCAGTAGTTAAGAGCATTGACTACTCTTCCAGGGGACCCACGTTTAATTCCTAGCACCCATAGTGCCCCATAACCATCTGTAACTCCAGTTCTGGTGCCGCCTTGTGGCATCCTCAGGCACCAGACATGCACACCAGGCACCAGACACAGTATACTGACATATATATAGGAAAAACATCCATATACACACAACAAACAAAAAATATTGTAGAAAGCTGATTTGAAGGATTAGGGTGGGGGCTAACACAAAGATGATCAACATCTAAAGCTACCAAAGGAATACTTACAACAAATTACAAATTTTTGTGTTTTAATTTTAATTTAGTAAAATTGTAGGTTGAATAAAAAATATTGAAAGAAACCTAGGGTAGTGGGAACATTTTACTAACACTGGTGATGGACATGTGCCAAAAGGCACAAATTTTTATTTATTTATATTATTATTTTGTCTGTTTGTATGTTTTTCTTTTTTTATTTTATTTTATTTTATTTTATTTTTTTTAAATGTTGGGTAGTACAGTCAGCCCTGTGGTTTTCTCTAGTAAGGGCTGTTCTCTCTACCCCTTTGTCTAGGAGGAGTGTATCAGCAAAGTCTTGCTTCATCAGACTCAGCCTTCTTGGTCCTCCAGTTGTTTGTATGTTTTTCAAGACAGGGTTTCACTGTGTTAATAGCTATGGCTGTCCTGGAACTCGCTCTGTAGACCAGGCTGATCTTAAACTCAGAGATCTACCTGCCTCTGCCTTCAGAGTGCTGGGATTAAAGGTGTGTGCCACCCCTGCCCGATTATTATTATTTAGAAAGTAATTTAGTTTCACCTGTCAAAACACAAAATGTTCATGTTCTTTGATCACTAACTCTTCTCCAAGAATTTACCCTCAAATCTTATGTAATTATGTAACAACATAAAATTATACATTGCAGAGTAAAAGTGAAAAGCAGTCAGATATTATAAATGCCATTAATGTAGGCCTGAATATAAAAACAAAGGGGCTTCAGACAGAATGTTAAACTAAGCTGCCAGTGAATGTATCAGATTTGGATATCTTGATAGGCAGAGCACAAGATCACTTTTAATTAATTAATTTATAAATTTGTTTTCAACCCAGAGTCTTACACATTCTAGGCAAGCACTCTACTACTGAGCTACAAGCCCAGATTGTCATATGTCATTTTTATAGCACAACAAGGATGTACATGAAACTGAAGACCAACATTATTCCCAGTTCTCACTTTTCCTTTTATATACTTCAGGACTGCATTTTGTGCTACAAGCATGTCCTAGTTTTATAGTTCTTTAAGCGGGGGAAGGTATGAAGAAATGTAAACAAGGATGAAGCAGCTTTACCTGGCTCTGCCCCGGTGCTCCGCGTACCAAGCAGTAATTCTCTCCTCCCACATTTCCGGAGTCATCTGATAGAGATTTATCACCTACCAAAAAGACAGCAAGAGAAAATCCACATGCAAAGCAAGTCTGGTATTGTTTGCCATTTTTATAATTATGGTTCATTTTTACAAAACAGCAAAGCTATTTTTAAAAAGCTGCATGCAGGGAGAGTCACACACAGAGGTGGGTGTATACACAAGCACCATTCCACTGGAGGATCAACCTGCAAGCTGCAGCATTCCTCAATTCTAACTACACTCCTGGGCTGCCAGGGTGTTCATCTCAGGGACCACCTCTGACAGTAAAGCAGTGCTTACTTATGCTGGCCTTCAACTGCAGAGAAGCCATCAAAGGATAGGTAAAGGCAGAGAAGGGTTGGGAAAAGCCTTTATTACCCAGTGACAGATGATAAGCAGGGCTACAAGAAGAAGAAGCAGCCTTTGGCTGCTTCTGTGTCTAATGAGTAAGATGAACAAGAGGATTAAAAGCCCCCTCCACCTTATCTTCTCCACCCCAAACAGCTCAATTATACACAGAGAACACAAGATCTTAAGGTTCCTTTAAGTCAATGCCACTCAACCACCTTTAGAAATTGCCACACCAGAAAAATAATCTACCTGCCACATATTTCCTAGCAATTCAACATTAATTCCACAAACTCTTGCATTTTCTCATTTTGAGACTGAATCTCACTCTGTAGTTCAAGCTGGCCTTAACCTTATGATTCTCTTGCCTCTCTTCGCCTCTTAACTACTGGGAGTGGAGGCATGAACCACACGTGCAGCAGCATCTTTTGCTTTTCACATGCTTGATGAAGTGCAGTGGTATATACACCTGTAATTCTAGTACTCAAGAGACTGAGGCAAGAGGGTAGTGAGTTCAAGACCAGCCTGGACTACAGAACAAGGGCCTATCTCAGAAAATAATAATAGGAGCTAGAAAGAAAGCTCAGTAGGTAAAAATGCTTGCTCTGCAAACATGTGGACTTGAGTTTGAATCCCCAGTAATGACAGGAGAAGATATTAGGAACTGATAGCTCTTGGGAGAAGGAAAATCAATTTTCTGCAAGTGGAATGACCACAGGGTATGTCGACCACACCCTAGGCAGCACACTCAGGAGTACATGGCTAACACAAATTGGAATCCACTGCTTTTAGTGGTTTCTGTTGTTGTTTAAGAGAGAGAACATAAAGTTGGGTGTACAGGGAAGTGGGGTGATACAGGAGGAGGTGGGGGAGGAGAAAGAATATTATCAAAATATATTGCATAAAATTTTCAAGGAGCTGAGTGGTGGTGGTGGTGTACACCTTTAATTCCAGCACTCGGGAGGCAGAGGCAGGTGGATTTCAGTGAGTTCAAGGTCAGCCTGGTTTACAAAGTGAGTTCCAGGACAGCCAGGGCTGTTACACGGAGAAACCCTGTCCCAAAAAACAAACAAAAAAAAAATTTAAGGAATAAGCTGGGTGGTGGTGGTAGTTGCCTTTAGTCCCAGTACTCAGGAGGCAGAGGCAGGTGGATCTCTGTGAGTTCCAGAACAGCCTGGTCTACAGAGCAAGTTCCAGAACTGCCAAAGTTATTACACAAAGAAACCCTATCTCGAAACAAACAAACAAAAAACCCTCAAAAAATAAATAAAAACATAAAAAAACATAAAAAGGGTAGGCATGACTGTACATACATGCCTGTAACTACAGCACTGAGGGGTAGAGACAGGTATATCTGGAATGCTCACTGCCTGGCCAGCCTAACTTAAATGGAAGCTTCCAGCTGAGAGACCTTGTCTCGTGACATAACAAAAAGAGAATAAATAAAGGAAGACACCTGAAGTCCTGCTCTGGCCTTGCATGTGTGAAAGGGCACATATACCTGCATACTCACAGGCACACACAACACAACACAACACCCACACTAATAAATAAATATGCTTAACCAAGAGTCCATGCTCTTTTCAAGATTATGAACTATGTAAATGAGCTTGCTTTGTACTTGCAACACTCCTTCAAGTCATTCAGAGGCTTTCATTCAGCCACATTTGCTGTTTTCCCAAAGAGAAACTGATTTCTTACCCTTTTTGGAAGCAATTCCTCTTGGGCTAAAAATCCTCGTTTATGCACAGAAGGGTCATAGTCACCATACTGGAAGGAAAAGGAAAGAGATCGTGTGACTGAGATTCTAAAGACTGTTGTTATTTCTGAACAAGGCTCAACTCAGTTGGTCCCCCCTTCCAGTTCCAGGGAGCAATTCAATTCTGATGACAAGATTTCAACCTTGTCAGTTTGTTATCCTTGAATGAAAATACAAAGCTGATTATATCTATGAGCAGAGTTGCAAAATCCCGTAAGGGATGGATGGGTGATGTGCTAATAAGAATGTGACATTTGTATGGAAGTAGTCTGTTTCCTAACCCTCAAAGAAAGCAGTCATTTCCAAACATTAGCATTGGAATGGAAACAACAAAATGCAACTGTGAAAGTTGTGATTAGCAAAGTGTGATAAGAGCCTTACCTACAAATGCTTCTAAGTGACTGGTAATTGGAGCCAATTGCTAGGTGGGACCAGGGAATACTGCAGGCATTTTTTTTTAGTACTTTTGCTCAAGGCTCTGAAAATTGCTTTGGAAGATCTGCTATCAATATTCTCTGTCATTCCTACTGCACAAAGAAACAAAAGGTTAACTGATACAGCCAAAGCTGTAGAGCTGGGAACTAGTGGGCTTGCAATCTACATTTCTCCTCCAGGGGAAACAACTCAGATATTTATTCTCTTCTTTTTTAAAAAGAATACTCCTTTGTTTCCTAGAAAACTTAGGGTCAGACCAGAGAATCATCCCAAATCAAAGAACGGGTTGGGGACGATGCTCAGTGGCACAACACTGCCTAGCATGCAAAAAGCCCTAGGTTTAAGCCGCAGTCCCAGATATAAAAAGACTGTGATTAAGCATGGAGCTGCACACCTTTAGTCCCAGCCCCTGAGAGGCAGAGGCAGCTATGAGTGTGAGGTCAGTCAGGAATTCATAGCGAGACATTTCCTCAAAGTAAAATAAAAATAAATATGCGCGAGAGACAGAAATATAAGCACAAAAATTTATCTCTTAGCAGTCAGCAGTCAATATGTTCTCTCTCTTTTACATCTACTTATTTGGGGGAGAGTACAATGCCTCGGAGCTCATGTGGAATCAGTCCTTTCATTACACCATGTGAATTCCAGGGATCTAGCTCAGGTTGTAAGGTTTGGCAGCAAGTGCCTTTACCCAATGAACCACCTCAGCAGTCCAGTGTTTTATATCTCACTTTTCTTTAATTAAAAGTTTTATTTCATTTTATGTGTATTAGTGTTTCACCTGCACATTGTATGTCTATGTCCCATGTGTATGCTTGCTGTCTTTGGAGGTCAAAATAAGACATCAGATCCCTGGGAACTGGAGTTACAAATGGCTGTGAGCCACAACATGGGTGGCTGCAACAACAGCTCCAGGGAAGTCAGTTCCCCATACTGGCCTCTGTGGGACCAGGCATGCACACAACACACACATACAAGGGAAAATATTCATACAAATAAACTAAGAACCATTTATTTATTTATTTGTTTATTTGTGCTTTTGTTGTTTCTTTGTTTTTGAGACAAGGTTTCTATGTGTAGCTTTTTGGAGCCTGTCCTGGAACTTGCTCTGTACATCAGGCTGGCTTCTAACTCACAAAGATCCACCTGTCTCTACCTCCCAAGTGCTGGTGTGCACCACACTACTGCCCAGCTAAGAACAAATAATTTTTTATAAAAAATTTAAAAGAAAAAAGATGAAATCTCTCCAAGTCTAAGTTTTCTTAAATGAGAGCACTGGTCCTGGAGGACCCTAAGAGACCACTAGAGGGCTGCTACAGAGGTCTTTAAACAAGGAATCCTTTCTTAAGCCACAGCATCCTCACCTGGAAAGCAAGGAACAAACTGTAAAGAAATCCAGGTAAGCACTCTGGGGTGGTGCTGGATCCTGGTGAACATCAGGCATGAGCATTATGGCGACCTTTGCATTATTGAAGACTTCATAGAGATGACTCAAAGTCAAGTTAGTTGTATTTGCAAGCTTTTCAACACTTGCCAACCAAATTTTAATGCAAAAGTAAGCATATATGCAAAGTTAAAGTTGTAAATTCAGGTCTCAAAAGCTTGCGAGATTAACGACACCCATTATTAAATTATACCAAGCTCCCAGCTACTACACTGATCAAATATATATTACATCTGAGCAATGCAAAGGTGGTGAAGATTCTGCTGAAAGAGCTTCTTCACTGAACTAACTCCACTCACAACATTAAAGCTACCTTGAAGTCTATTTAAATGTCTATTTAAAAAACAAAGGGGAAAATGCTGGTGTTGTGGCAGTAAATATAAAAGAAAGCCATACCACACTCTGGAAATGACTATTCCTCATTTTTTCATGTAACAGAAGCATTATGAAAAGATCAAGGTGAATTTACTGTGAAAGTAAGAAAGCTGAAGTCTCAAAGCTCTGTAGCTTTGTGGGTCTGTATGCAATCTTATATTCATCATTTGGTATTCCTGTATTAAATAAAACCCCCCTAAACTGCCTAAATTTCAGAGCCTACAAAACCTGTTTTTATACTGCCTCTTATAAATATCTTGAATTTAAATGTAAGAAAGGGAAGACGGGATGTAGATCAGTGATGTAGCTTAGCATGCAAGAGACCCATGATCAATTTTTTAGAATTAAAACAAACCAAGCAAATATCATCACTTTGAAGAACTGACAATTAAGATAAAATTCTTGGGGTTGGAGACATGGCTCAATAGTTAAGAGCACTTGCTGTTCTTGTAGAAGACCTGGGTTTGATTCTTAGCACCTATATAGTGAATGAGAACCATCTATAACTCCAGTTTCAGGATATCTGATGCCCTCTTCTGGTCTCCTTGGACATTGCATGCACATGGTATATAGACATACATGCAGGTCAAACACCCAATACACATAACAATAACTAATTAAAAAAATTTTCAGCTGGGCAGTGGTGGCGCATGCCTATAATCCCAGCACTCTGTGAGTTTGAGGCCAGCCTGGTCAACAAGAGGTAATGCCAGGACAGGTTTCAAAGCTACACAGAGAAACTCTGTCTCGAAAAATCAAAATACTAATACTTATAATTTTTTTTTCTTGGGCTTGTGATATAGCTCAGCAGTTAAAGGTTCTTGCTGCTGAGTCTAATGACCTAAGTTCTATCCCAGAAACCCACGATGGAAGGAGAGAACTCATGGAAGTTGTCCTCTGATCTCTACATCCATGTCTTGGTAAGAGTTGCATTCACACCCTCACCCCTGCCAAATGAAATAAATAAATGTAATTTTTAAATATTGAAAAAACAAAAACCATCGTGTGTCTGTGAGATGCCTCAGCAGGTTAAACGTGCCTATTATTGAGTTTGACAACCTGAGTTCAATTCCCAGGACCCACATGATGCAGGGGAGAGAAATAACTCTTGTAAATAGTCCTCTGACCTCCACATGCGCTATGGCAGGCACACACACAATAATACATAGATATCTAATTAATTCTTTTAAAATATCAACTTTTGCCAGGCAGTGATAGCATACACCTTTAATCCAAGGACTTGGAAGGCAGGGGCAGGCAGATCTCTGAGTTTAAGGTCTACAGGGCAAGTTCCAGGACTGTCATGGCTACACAGAGAAATCCTGTTTCAAAACAAAAAAACAACAAAAACAAAATAACTGCTCTTTGCTGCTTTGGGCTGGGAGTAGAGCTCAGTGGCAGAGTGCTTACTGACCTGAGTCTTCTGACCTCCAATACTACAACATCAAAGGACTCACCATTTATTTACACAATTCTCTCTCTCTCTCTCTCTCTCTCTCTCTCTCTCTTTCCTATTTTCAGGAGGCTAGGTGTGTGGGTATCTCCTATGTTGCACAGGCTAGCCTCAAACTCCTGGGTTTGAGCAATTCTCCTGCCTCAGACTCCCAAGGAGCTAGGGCCAAGTCATCTGAAAAGTCTAAGCTAAAAGTAGTCTCTTTCTGGGTATTGATTTCCTCTCTGTATGCAAAGGAAAAATCAGGTCAAATGTTCTAAATGGGTTCTAATAAACAAAGTTTGACACTTATTTTTCTTAATCTCTCTCTCCCTCCCCCCTTTCTTTCTACTTTTTTTTTTGTTTTAAAGACATGGTTTCTCTGTGTAACCCTGGCTGTCCTAGAGCTCAGTATGTAGAGCAGGCTGGCTTCAAACTCCTGAGTGCTGGGATTGAAGGCGTGTGCCACCATGCCCAGTTTATATATTTTCTCTTCTTTTCTTTGTAACCATCTGTGTAAAATAGATTTCTATTACATACAGTCACTAAATTCCATATGAATCAAGGATATAAATCTATAAACAAAAATCCATAAAAGTACCAGACAAGAGAGGGTGGGAACAATAGTGGTTGATGAAGTCATTCTTAAGACTGACACAGAATAGCAGACAAAGGTTGCTATCACCATAGATGAGCTCCTATAAATCACTAAGACAAAGACAAGAACATAGCAGAAAAGGGGCAAGTAATAAACAGTCACTGCAGAGTAAAAAGGAACAAATGGCCTGTTAACCCTGGAGATGCTTAGTCCCATTGCAAATCAATACATTTAAAAAAAAATAAAAAACAAAACCCACTGTTTTTTTTCTGAAACAGGACAGCGAAACTTCAGAAGACTGATCATAACCATTGTTGTGAAGAATGTACAAAAACAGGTGTTCTCATATGCTGCTGCTGGAAGTTAGATCAGAACACACTTCTAGAGGCATTATTTGAGGAAAAATTTACCTACATGAAATTTACTGAGTTTTTCTGACATGGTCCCACTGTGTAGTTCTGGCTGGCCTGGGATTCACTAAGTAGACCAGGTGGGCGGGTCTTGAGCTCAGCGATCAGTCTGCCTCTTGGCCTCACTAGTGCACTATGCCTGGACTGTTCTGGTTTTGAGACAGGGTCTCATATAATGCAGGATGGCCTTGAACTCAAGCTTCCTATATAACAGAGGATGGTCTGAACTCCAGGATTATACACATGTACCACCACTTTCCATTCGTATGTTGCTAGGTGTATGTTAGGCAAGTACTATTAAGTAGGCCACATCTCCAGTCACCTCCTTGACATATCCATCATTACCTGAGGTGGGAACCTCACAGTCTCTGACTAGGACAACCACTACAACTTTCTATAGATCTCCCTCACTGTTTCTAGACTTGTCTCACTCTGCAGCCTTGGCTGGTCTAGAATTTTCTATATAGCCCAGGGTGGCCTTAAATTCACAGAGACCCATCTACCTCTACCTCCCCAATGCCAGAATTAAAAGCTTGTGGTGTCACATTGGGCACTGATCTATCTGTTCTTTACGAAGCCACCAAAGGTTCTGTGCAAAATATAAACCCTTCACTGGCTCAGTAGCACCCACAGGCTAATGGGAAGACCTTTCATGATCTGCTCCCTAAAGGGCTTTTGTCTTCAGCTCTTGCCACTGTATGTGTTTTATAAGTACTCAATTTCTTACTGAATTGCATTTAATCACTGTCCCTGACACTTTAGAGTAAGAAACAGTAAGCTTCTCTCACTGTTTTTGTTTTGTTTTGTTTTTGAGAAAAGGTCTCTGTATGTAGACCTGGCAGACCTGGAACTGGGCAAGTGCTGGCCTCAACACTCACAGAGATTCTCCTGCCTCTGCTTCCCAAGTGCTGGGATTAAAGGCATGCACCACAACGCCTGGGAAGACTTGTTTATTTTTAATTTATGTGTATGCGTGTGAGCCTTTGTGTGTGAGTATATATGTGTACCACATGTGTGCATATGTGTACCACATGTGTGCAGGAGCCTTCAGAGACCAGAAGAGGACACTGAATGCCCCAGAATTGGAGTTACAGGTAAGCTGTAAACTGCTGAGAAGCAGATCCAGGTCTGATTCAAGAACAGTAGTAAGCACTCTGACTTGTTGAGCCATCTCTCCAGCTCCATCTCACGCTATATTTTCTTCCTTCTGAAAGAGCCTACAGGCAGCGCAAAGTTTCATGAACGATACTTTATTCTCTCCTAGTAATTTTCAGTACAAACTTATTTCAGAAAGAGAGAAAAACACACTTGAAACACTAAATGGTCCATAGAAAATCAACAGGTGGCTTGAAAACTGCAAGATGGTTTTGCTCGTCATGTGACTGATCTATTCTTTTGATTCTAGCATAACTCAAACAAGAACCAAGAAATATGGTTTTTGGTGACTGAACCATGTGATTAATATTTGTATTTATATTTTGAAGTTAATTGTTTCTTTATGCTTTGGGATTAAGTGTGTCTATATCATCCCAACAGCTGAAATACTGTAATGAATACATTTGCACATAATTATGCTCCATGTGTCAATGAGCTCAATTTCACTTCTCCATATTTCTAGAGTTTCTTTCTGTTTCAGAATAGCTAGAAAGAAAACAAACTATACATAGTGGAAGGAACAAGTATGGATTACTTAAAAGTTCAGTTGTTTTTTTTTTCTTTTTTTGCAAAGTAAGAAGTCAAAGTGTATTTATTTGAAAATGACATGATAGTATACATTATGACCCTAAAAATTCCACCAGGAAACTCCTACTGATAAAAAACTTTTATTCAAGTAGCTGAATACAATGTTAACTCACGAAAGTCAGTAACCCTATATGCAAACGGACCAAGAAAGAAATCAGTAAAATGACAGCTTTTGCAGTAGCCACAAATCATGCAAAATATCCTGGTGTAACTCTAACCAAACAACTGAAATATTTACATCATAAAAACTTAAAAACTTAAGACATTTAAGAAGGTATCAGTGATGCCAGGCAGTAGTGGCGCACATCTTTAATCCTAGCACTTGGGAGGCAGAGGCGGATTGCTGTGAGTTCGAGGCCAACCTGGTCTACAAAAGCTAGTTCCAGGACAGGCTCCAAAACTACAGAGAAACCCTGTCTCAAAACACCAAAAAAAAAAAAAAAAAAAAAGTATCAATGAATAGGAAGATCTCCCATGCTTATGAATTGGTAAAATTAATATATTAATAATGAGCATCCTACCATCAAATTGTTTATATTTGTTTGTTTATATTTTAAGTGCATTGGTACTTTGCCTTCATGTATGTCTGTGTGAAGGTGTAAGATCCCCTAGAGTTAGAGCTACAGACAATGGTGAGCTGTGTGTGGATGTTGGGAATTGAACATCTCTCTAGCCCCAGTGTTCATCTTGTAAATGAAACTAGAGTTTAGTGAAAATTAACGTCTGACCTCCACAAACTTCACTAGACAGTGAGAGGCAGGAGCCTAGACACCGGGGTTTCCAGCCTGGCTCTACCCTTCATCCCACTGTTTCAATCTTCGCGAAGAGGCATGTATGGTAGAGCACTTGCCTCACATGTTGGGTTTTGTCCCCTGTACCATGAAAACAAAACACAACAAAACAAGTGGTTTGTACATTTCATAAGTATAGAAATAACATAAAAGCATTGTGACCCTGAACAAACCATTAATCTTTTTTGTTTTTCTTCAAGACGGGTTTTTCTCTGTGTAGCCCTGGCTGTCCTGGAACTCCTACTATAGTTCAGGCTGGTCTTGAATTTACAGATCCTCCTGCGTCTGCCTCCCAAGTAGTGAGATTAAAGGTGTGCACCACTATGCCCAGCTCATTCATCTTTTCTAACCTTTAATTCTGTCAGCAGGAAAACAAACATAAGCTTTGGCTTCCAAAAAATACTACATGGGGTATCTTGTGAAATAGTCTGTTGAACACTTTGATAAACATTATAGATAAGGCTTATCCTACATATCTGCTCACTATTAATAGTCTGAGAAACTGGTAACATGGTTTCCTGAATGCAAACAGGGTCTCACTGTACAGCCCTTGCTGGCCTGGAACTCACAGGGATCTGACTGCCCTGTCTAGTATTAAAGGTGTGCACTACTGAATACAGACTTTAAAGGCTAGAGATTACCTGTATTTGTAAGATTCCTAAATTTAACACCGGAAAAAATAGTTCGAGCACCCACCTCCATATGAACCACATATGTTGTCTGTGAATCACTTTCATCTCCAAATTGGCAGAAGCCAAATAAGTAGGGCTTTCCTGCAGTGAAATCTGTTCAAGCAAACATCTGCGGGCTCCTTGAAAACGATCCCACCCCTCTGTTCCCAAATAAGTGGCCTTTGAATTTGTGACCCAAAACCCATAGCCTTTCAGACTTGAGAGCTTTGAGACTTGAGAGCTTGATTGGGTTTCAAATAGGAGAAAACATGCAAAAAAGGAACTCAACTCTGAGCCAAGAAGTACATGGATTTAATGAAAGTAATAATGACTGTTTTGTCACTGTTAGGACTGAAAGGATACATTTTTCCTGTTACTAATATTCTTGATCGAAGCACAAAAGGAGCATATGCTTTACTTGAACCACAGCCCATTTTCTGCTTTCTCAATTATTCCTTTTTCAAGGAAGGTATAAAATATAACTCTAAAGTCACAGATTCTGTCTCTAGCTTTCACCCATGAAGGCACCAAAGACCTTGGAGGATCACTGAGGGCAGAACTTGCTCTAGTGTCTGCATCGGACAGTTAACAAGCCTCATGACTACTCAGCAGACACTAATGAGTCATCAAATGATTAAACTGACTCTGTGCTTCTACTGGCCTGACCAGCATACACACTTTGAAGCCCTTTTCCCATCCCAAATGGAAACAAGTCATTCCTGGCTTTGATCTGAAATTGTATTAAAAATGTGATTGAGGTGGGAAACTCAAGTGTCATGAAACACTCTAGTTGGCCTTATACATGGGACAGAAACTCAGTGATGCTCCTCTCTCACCACTCCTGGTCTGCTGTCTAAACGAGAGAAAAAGACTTTAGGCTGATGAGACAGCACCAATGGGCCCAGCAGGGTCAGCAGACCCAGCGGGGCCTCACCAGGAGTGTGGCTTCTAAGAATGTATTCTCTAGAAAGATGAGTTTGGATAGAGAATCTGGGTCCTGCTCACCTAAAGGTCTCATTTGATCATAATTAGAGACCATAAATTCACTTTCCCTGACTAATAAAACGAAGCTGATGCAATGAATGCAATGAACCACATGTGCATAATGAGATTACATAGAAAATTCATCTTTTTGAATGAATTCACTTAGAATGAATTGTAAGTCATTAGAATGATATGCTTGTCACTTGTATACACAATATACACACATACAAAATATGCAGAAGTTGAGGCAGCAACAGTAGATACCCAACTCTCATGACATCTCATTTTCGGGGGCAAGTTGTTCTGAAGTCTCCAAAATCCAAAAAAAAAAAGGAAAATTGGAGCCATGCTGTGACACGTTAATGTTGAGGAAGAAAGCATTTTTCTTTCTTTGGACCCACCTTGGCCTGGACAGCATAGGAAGCCAAGAGCACTGAAGCCTCAGGAGGGCAGTAGATCTTTTCATCCAAAATCTGTTTCTTCACCTGAAAGGGGCAATAAGAGAGAGAGAGAGAGAGAGAGAGAGAGAGAGAGAGAGAGAGAGAG